GAAAGATGAGACTCTGCAATCAAAATCTAATTCTGTTGTCACGGGAGCTGTTATTTAAAACAAGAAACTGGCACTGGGAAAGAAAGCCTGTGTTCTCCAGAGCCTCCTTATAACGTGATCCCCTGGAAGATCTCAGTACCTCCAGCATCTCCCAGTTACAAGTAATTGGAGTTCTGCCTGCAGTTGTTGTCCACGACCATTCCACTGAGCCAGACTCTGCTCTCATCATTTGCCAGTGATCTGGAATAGTTCCACCAGAGTCAGCTATCTGAATCTATATGGGTTTAAATGAGAAGAAAATTACAGGACTGTTGCCTTAATGGGATAATGAGTGCAAGCAGACACCCTATTAATGCATATCATTAAAGCAGTGTTTGCAAGGTTCTGACAGCTAAGTGAATTTTGATGTTGTTACAGACAGATTTTTGCAGCCACTTATATCTGAAAACATAGCTCTGCTGGAAACTGTAGTCAATACCTGCAAAGCATTTTTAATACTACTGTAGTATCTTCTTAATGGGTCTCCATTTAAACTGTGTTCTGTCGTTGGGGTACAGAACATGGAAAACATGACACCTGTTTTTGGAAGGTCCTCTGTGTTCCAGGCTTCTCAAACCGTGTAATAACTTTACCTGTTTTAATGGGCTGTCTTGGCAAGCCCTTGCTTGCATCCTCACGGGCACTACATAACCCTGGAGTGCCTTTCTAGGGTCCTCAGCCAGTCCTCACTGAAGGATCCCAGGTGTCTAACGTGTCTGCAGACAGCTAAGTGTTAGAGCAGTGAGTACAGAGGAGTTCTGCAGATTAAGTCTTTCACTTTAAAACAAAAATACATCTTGCTCTGAGTGCTGGTTTGAAGTGTCTTGGAGAAAAGCCATCTTCCTCCCACTGAAGCAGGTGGAAAAGTTAACTCTCTGCATTGAGGACAGACTTAATCATTCACTAGAACATTTAGCTCCTCTGTAGGTTTATGAGACTTCTGCAAGTGCAGAATTCATATAACGAATGTCACAGTTATGGAAGTCATTTTGCTCACTGATATGAAATTGTTCTTTCTTCAATGGCATGAAAAATATTTCCTTTGCTGCAAAACCAACTTTTACTGTGTGTATTTTCATTCCATCACAAATATTTTTTATGAGCACAAGTCGCTCTTTAATAGAAAAATTATAATAGCACCTGTGAAGGCCAAAAAAAAGAAGTCACCTTATTGCTCCATTCAAACAACACCCTTGGGAGATATTTTGATAACTTAATTATTTTCCTGCTTTTCTGCTTGTTTCAGCTTTTTGAAAACAAGAAGAACACCAAGACGAGAAACAAAAAGGTGACCATCTACAGCTTCACAGGCACCCAAAGGAACCGCTGCAGCACGTTCCGAGTCAAAAGGACTCACACTGTTTACTGGCAGGAAGGTCTGTTCGTTACCTTTGATGGAGGCTATCTTAGGTAATTTGTGTTCATCATGCAGCATGCGTGACAGGGGACTAATAGAGTGTATGAAACTCATCATCTGAATGGAGATGAATGGGCCTGACTCAAGCTCTGTGCTCACTCATCGGGAGAAGAGGAGGCTCTTCTAATAGACATAACTCATCTGGTAACAACTGGTGACAAAAATGATGAATGACTGATTGTTTGGCAGCTTTGAATATATCAACCTTATGTGTTGTTGCAGCCACAAATTTAGAGAGGCCTGAAACACAAAGTGATATTCAGAGCAGAACTCTTTGCCAGCACAAAATCACGCATTTGCACACGCAGAGATTTCCCTACGTCAGTGAGTTTTCCACTGAATCCTAAAACTTCACCACTCTGTGGCAGTAACCCTGATCAACAAAGGTGCTCCTGTGCTGTCAGACAAAGGGACTAGGGACAACTGGTCTGAGCTGGCCAAGGCAGGGTGTCTGCTGGCTGCAGGCCTGGAGAAAACCTGCTCTCCATGCTCTTTGATAAGTGCAGGGAGTAGGCAGCCACTTAAGACTTTCATCTTTGTCGTGCGTCTGCAGATGCATTTGCTCTTCCAGTCCCTGGCAAGACAGGGAGGAACCATTGGTGCTGTTGTGTGGTTGGAGAGCAGAAGGGCACAGTGACTTTCCTGAGGTCATCTAGGCCATCTGTGGCTGAATAGAGACTTGGACCCACGCGTTGCAAATCACAGGCTGCAATCCTTTATTCTGGGCCGTGGTGGTGGCCACACTCTCACCTCCCCGTGTGCTTCAGGGAGGTACACAATGCAGCTCTTTGTGTCAAAGCTTTTTTTGGTTTTTGTTTGGTAGGAGTTGCACAAAAATAATGTCTATAAACATGTTTGAAGAGTTTTTGGAAGTTCTATTATTGTTGTTATGCCACTGGAGTTTTATTACTGATCTTTAAAACTCCTAAACCTACATTATTCTCTGTGGGGTATTTCTGTCAAAACTCTCCATCATACTCAGTTTACTCAGGCCAGAGTTTTCTCTGAGTCTGACCTTCTGTAGCATTTACTCATCACAAGCAACCAACATTTCTGTGCAGGAATTCTCATTTGCAGACCAGACTGAATTGAACATTATCCTCAAAGCTAGATTGCTTTCTGTTTTGATTACTCATGAACTACTTGTTTTTATGTAACTCAGGTTTCCTGTGAGAAAGGGAGTTTGTTGACACTGATCCCTCACAAAAGCTTCATGTGGCTATCTTCTGGCTTTCTTACACAGTGTGGAGTCTTCTGATGTGAACTGGAAAAAGAAAAAAAGTGGTGGAATTAAAATCATTTGCCAGTCAGAAGTGAGAGACTTTTCAGCAATGGCGTTCATCACAGATCATGTCAACTCTTTGATAGACCAGTGGTTTCCTGGTAAGACAGCTGCTGTAATTTCCTCTGCAGTGTTATGTCTTTTTAACAGCAGGTTCTTTGACAGAGCTCTCAAGGTGCACAATGTGGTGTGTTAATTGAAGACCCCTCGGGCTCTGAGAGTCTGAAGTTAATAAAGTTTGAGAAAAGCTGATAACCTGCAGACAGATCAAGATTATTTGCCAGCACACCTTGGTCTAGACGTTGTGTCTTTCAGTCCATCAGTCACATCAAGCACAGGTGAAACACAGCAGTTCAAACAGCACCTGCATCTGTAGGAGTTCAGGAGACTCTTCCAGTGCTCATAGCAGGGACAGGATTTGGCCCAAACTCTTTGACACTGTCCCTTGATGGCAGGACTCATTTTGGCAGCAGCTGGGCTCAGCATTTGCCCACCATTCCTAACGCCCTGTAATTTATAAGATTGTGATGCAAGAGGCATGAGTGAATATGATACCAAGGACTCTGTGCCAAGGTAACTTCCTTGACTCCAGCAGTTGTTTTTCCTCTGATCAGCACAGATCCTGCTGCTACCCAGCGGGCTGTTTGCAACTCCAATACACTTTGTTTCAAACCAAAACAGAATCTGAAGTGTTCTTTGTCGTCCCACACTGGTCTAGAAAGCAGTGCCAAAATCTCTTAATTGGAGGCTCTCTGGAGGAAATAGTTGCGCTCTCTCACATATTCAAGTTCTGCATGTTATGAAGATAAAAGAAGATTTTATTTGCCTTTGGATTAAAATGATGATAATGTTAATCACTGAAGCTTGAGAAGAGTCATGGCTTCAAAGGCAATAGCCTGTATATACCCTGCCTAATTGTCAGCATTTTATGGAGCCTGTCACCACAAAACCCCTCTGTAGTCAGTGGGAGAAGTGTGAACTTCCCAAAAGTTTAGTCTTGGTGGAATCCACATTTCACATTTTAGTCCAGAATCTATTTCCTTTGCAAGCCTGTGTGTTACCTGTGACCAGAGTAGCAGTGGAGTTGTGTGAACAGTCCTGTCTCCTCAGTCCTGTCCCTGCTACCTGTGTGCACTTTGCAAAAAGCCCTTTTCTTATGCCAGTCCAGACACATCTGTGAAGTGCTGCTTTCAGCAGTGTGCCCATTCTCAGCCAGTGGGTCTGAGCAGTGGCTGTAGACATTTGAATGCACTAGGAGCTGTTGTTCTTTCTCAGTTTGTGTGGGTTATGTTGTTCTCTCTTTGCTTGCTTGCTCTGAAGCCCTGACAGCCACGGAGAGCGACGGCACGTTGCTGATGGAGCAGTATGTGCCCTGCCACATCTGTGCAGCCTCCAGGGCGGAGGGGAACGCCTGTGGTGAGAAGGCAGAGGACGTGCAGTACTTCAACATGGAGGACTGTGTCCTCACTGCCATTGAACTGGACTACATCACCTGTCCTAACCACCCTGACATCCCCGTTTCTCTCCAAGAGCTGGTCCCAGAGCTTTTCATGACTGATTTTCCTGCCAGGTAACGTTCTTTGTTAGCCTTTGGTTAAGTTGCAGTCTACCCATGTAATTTGGTTGGGTTTTTTTTCTAAGGCATCTCTGCTAGAGGAACATATTGACCACAGGAAACAAATTCATCTGCTCTCAATCCCTGCTTTGACCATTCATCCTAAATTGCCCTACTGGTGGTCAACACACTTGCTTAGACAATCACTCCCATCACTTCAGGGGTCCTTTGAGATCACTGTGGTGCAGTGTGAAAGTCCCTCTTAAAAGCTGCTGGTATCCTGCATTGCCCAGTAGTCTGGCCAGAGCTTTCTGTAGCTGGAGCCTTTCTGGGATCCCAGAAAGGGGATTTTAATATGGCAAAAGCAAAAGGAAGTGCTGCTGCATCACAAGGTTGGCACAGAAACTGCTGTTAGTTGTGAAGAGACTGTAGGTGAGTAAATTTGTATAGACACCACCAGAGAATTCACATGGAGTCGAGGCTCCTGCTCGGCTGAGGGCTGCTGGATGTGCTGTAGTAGCGTGGCAGTCCTGAACAGCTGAAACAGCTCTTCCCTACCCAGAGCAGCTCTGCCAAACCTTTAAGCAGCTTAACTGCATTCCCAGATGGGTTCAGTCTTATACGCCTTATTACTTGTAGTGTAGAGCAAGAGAGCTCCTGAGAGCAGGCAGGACAGGAGACCCATGTCGCCTTGGGCTCACACTCTCTTAGACCTTTCTGTGCCCAATGCAGAGCCATGACACCTCTAGACCAAACTGTGTCCTGTTGGCTGCTGTTGGAGCTTTCTCTGCACTGGCCTCTCTTCCTCTCTTAGGGGTCATTTTTCTGGGCAGACACCCCACTGGCTCCTCACGACAGCCCTCCTTGTGGTGCTATCTCCTAGAGATTTATTTGACGGGTGCGAGGCGAGTGGAGATGTTTGAAGTGTGAACAGCTGTAGAAGTAGTCTCTGGAAGAGAGGGGAAGTGATGAATTGCAGCCTGGGAACAGTAAGCTGATTTGAATAATCAGGTTTCAGAGTCTGGGGCTGTTCATAAACATCCTGTCTTGCCTCAGTGGAGAAAAGAGGAACAGGAGGTAGATGAAGAAAAAAAAATCGTTAATATAGATAAATGGTACAAATACCTGTACCTGTGTCATCTGCTTGGAAAAGGAGATTATGTGCTTTCCAGATATGTTTGATTCTTGTGGGATAAATCAGTAAAAAGCCTTTTTTGCTTATTTGTCCAAGTTACTTTTTTCTGTGAGACATCTGTTGGACAGCCTGAGCCAGCGTAGAGTACATGGAGATGACCAAGGCAGTTTAGGTGATCCAGTCCTCTCAGTAGATAAGACAAGAACCTATTAAGGATTAGTGGAAATGGAAAGCACATTAAAAACATGAATTTACAATATCTTTGAAACTTTTAATTAAAAAGCCCCGATCTCTTTTTGGCAGACTGTTCCTGGAAAATAGCAAACTGGAATGGAGTGAAAATGAAAACAACGTTCTTGGCCAGGGTGGAAGTGGGACCGTTATATATCGGGCACGATACCAAGGAAAACCAGTGGCTGTGAAGAGATTTCAGATTAAAAAATGCATGGGTTCTCCCACTTCAGCTGCAGGTACAGTGCACACAACTGGTGTCAAGAATGGGCTCTTGCAGCCTGTGATCCCGAGCTGGGACCAAAGAGCCTTTGCTCTCCCAAGTGCTGGCAGCACCTCTTCAAATATAGAGGTTTCTATCAGCTTTGGCGTATGTATTGCAAAACTGATGTGTTTCCATGGAGGAGGATTCATCTTAAAGTGTCCTTCACGAAGGTACTTGTAGTGATGGAGGTCATTGACACTGCTGGAAGCTTCTCTCCTGCAGGTCAGGGGTGGACTCATAGGGTATTAAGGCAGAAGACAGATTAGGATGGGAGGCAAGGTTTCATCTCCTGATCCCAAGCTGTTTGGCAATGAGAAGTGTGGATTTGTGTGGATTTACACTAAGGACTTGTTGGTCTCCACCCTTGAATAAGTCTTTTACTCCATCTGTGCCAGCAGCTACAGAAAGCAAACTGGAAATCCTCCTCAGCCTGCCAGCTCCTGCAGGCAGGGACAGGCACTCGTCCTGCACAGGCTGCCTGTTGAGCCCAGGTTTCCAGCAGAGCCTCAGTCCATGGGGAAGAGAAAGGAGAAAGTACCTTGCTTCCCTCAATTTTCTTTTTTTTGTTTTTTTTTGTCTGGGAAGGATGCAGTGAACTCCCCTGAGTTGTGAAGGGGAGGCCAGCTGATGTCCCACTGACAAATAACCTTTGGAAAGACCCAACCTGACTGATCAGCCTGTGCTGTCCCTTTGCAGAAGAACAATTATTGTGAAGGGCTCTTCTTCTGTCAGGGCAACTGGAAAAGGGTAGGGAAGACTCCTTCCACCAAAGAGTCTGCAGTGTGACATCTACACCCAGGTAGTTTCTGCTTTAAAAAGCACAGCATGAGTTTTCCAAATCATCCAAGTGACACAGAACAATGTGTGCCAGATACACTTGAGGTTGGTGTTCAAGGGAGCATTTCACAGAATTGGAGAATGGCAGGGGTTGGAAGGGACCACTGGAGATGATCTTGTCCAGCCCCCCTGCTCCAGCAGGTCACCCACAGCAGGGTGCCCAGGATCACATCCAGGCAGGTTTGGAATCTGTCCAGAGAAGGAGACTCCACAACCTCTCTGGGCAGCCTGCTCCAGGGCTCTGGCAGCCTCAGAGCAAAGAATTTTTTCCACCTGTTCAGATGGAACCTCCTGGGTTCCATTTTATTCCTGTTGCCCCTTGTCCTGACACTGGCCACCACTGAGAAGAGTCTGGCCACATCCTTTTGACCCCCACCCTTTAGATATGGATCAGCACTGATTAGATCCCCTCTGAGTCTTCTCCAGGCTGAACAGCCCCAGGGCTCTCAGCCTTTCCTGGACACAGAGATGCTCCAGGCCCCTCTGCATCTTCAGAGCCTCCACTGGACTCTCTCCAGTAGTTCCTTGTCTCTATTGACCTGGGGAGCTCAGAACTGTTACCCAGTACTCCAGATGTGGCCTCACCAGGGCAGAGTATAGGGGGAGGAGAACCTCCCTCGACCTGCTGGCCACACCTAATGCCCCCCAGTGCAGAAGCTCTTGCTTCCTGAGGCACCCATGTATATCCTGCTCACAGCCAATGTCTTAGTGGCTTGTGCGTCAACACAAGGATGCAACTTGAAGCCTTGTTATTGGCGTAACCCCACAAGCCACCTTCCTCCTGCAGCATTTGCTCAGTGACTAGCACTTTCCAGAGAGCCTGTGACTTGGTTTCTCAGCTGGGGAGTAAGAAGGTGGTTGTGTCTTGCCAGATACCATGCTGAAGCACCTGAGAGCCATGGATGCCATGAAGAACTTCTCGGAGTTCCGGCAGGAGGCCAGCATGCTCCACTCCCTGCAGCACCCCTGCATCGTCTCCCTCATTGGCATCAGCATCCACCCCCTCTGCTTTGCCCTCGAGCTGGCCCCTCTGGGCAGCCTCACCACTGTCTTGTCTGAAAACTCCAAAGGTAAAACCCAGGTCTCCCTCCTGGGAGAGCTCACTCTGAGTCACAGCAGTGACAAATGGTCAACAACCTTTAAATTACTGCTTGATTTACTGCAGGGGACTTTTTTTCCAGACTGGGGGAAGTGGGAGGGATGGTATTGCTCTTAAACTGTGCCTTTGGGAACCTAGTAAAAATTGATGCTCAGGATTTTTAAAACTACTTTGGAAACCTGGATTTTCAATTTCTTTGCAAATTAAGAAGTGTGTCTCATTTCAGTGCTGCATGAGCTATGCTGTCTTCCCCTACAGATGGGTGTGTGGCACTAAATTCTCTCATAATTATCTGTATTTCTGGCACTGTCAAATGAATGACACTAATTCCAAGATAGGTTGAGGCCATCTGACCCTCTTGGCACCTTGGCTTTGTGTCAGCTTTCAGTCAAACAGCAATTTCCACTGGAAGATTTAGGGGTCTAGAAGCGAAAGGGTTTAAAGAGAGAATGTAATAGAACTGTCAGCCGTGTACAGTAACACAAACAGTGTCATTTCAAATCGTGGCATTGAGTGATGTTTTAAAAGGCTGATAGTTATTGCTCTGGAGCTTAAAAGAGATAGGGGGGGGGGGGGAAAAAGCCCCAAACAGTTATTGCAATTAATATAAAAGAAGGAGGGGGGGGGGGGTAAAAAGCCCCAAACAGTTATTGCAATTACAGGAACTGAAGACAGGCTGTTCCTTTGTGCCAGGGTCTTCCTTTGTGCCGCTGGGACACATGCTGACACACAAAATAGCCTATCAGATAGTCACGGGCCTGGCCTACCTGCACAAGAAGAACATCATCTTCTGTGACCTGAAGTCAGACAACATCCTGGTGTGGTCCCTGGATGTCAAGGAGCACGTCAACATCAAGCTCTCCGACTACGGCATCTCCCGGCAGTCCTTCCACGAAGGGGCGCTGGGGGTGGAGGGCACCCCGGGCTACCAGGCCCCCGAGATCCGCCCCCGCATCGTCTACGATGAGAAGGTAACTGGGGGGGGCTGGGGCAGGGCCCCCACGGGGCACACAGCCTCAGGCCTGGGGCTGAACGCCCTCACACACACCTGGAGTCCTGGGCTCGGCTTTGGGACACTGAGGGGCTGGAGCGTGGCCAGAGAAGGGCAGTGAAGCTGGGGAAGGGTCTGGAGCACAAGTGTGGTGAGGAGCAGCTGAGGGAGCTGGGGGTGCTGAGCCTGGAGCAAAGGAGGCTCAGGGGAGACCTTCTGGCTCTCCACAGCTCCCTGACAGGAGGCTGGAGCCAGGTGGGGATCAGGCTCTTCTTCCAAGGAACAAGTGATAAGGCAAGAAGAAACAGCCTCAAGTTGCCCCAGGGGAGGTTTAGGTTGGACATGAGGGAAAATTTCTTCTCCAAAAGGATTGTCAAGCCCTAAACCAGACTGCCCAGGGCAGTGGTGGAGTCCCCACCCCTGGAGGGGTTTCCAAGCCGTGGAGATGTGGTGCTGAGGGACATGGGTCAGTGGGGACCTGGCAGTGCTGGGGGAATGGTTGGACTTAATGATCTGAAAGGTCTCATCCAACCAAAATGATTCAGTGATTCTCTTCTATGTGTGCAGCACAAGCTTTCCCCTCACAGCCTTCCTTCCTGCCCTTTCCATCCTCCAAGGGAGATTTTCCCTATTTTTTTCCCTTCCTGGCCCTAGGTTGACATGTTCTCATATGGGATGGTCCTGTACGAGCTGCTGTCTGGTCAGAGGCCTGTGCTGGGACAGCACCAGCTCCAGATTGCCAAGAAGCTGTCTAAAGGGATCCGTCCTGTCCTTGGGCAGCCAGAAGAGGTGCAGCTGTATAGGATGCAGGCACTCATGATGGAGTGTTGGGACACTAAGCCAGAAAAGGTACAAGACAACCCTCGTGACCAGTGTTTTCTGATTGTGTAGCTACAGGGATCTGCCAGCCCTCTTCGTGCAGCAGAGCTGGGCTTGCTCGTGGTACAGAACAGCTCAGAATAGCTCAGTTGCCCATTTATCCCTCCTGCTGATATGGCCCAGAACTTCTATTGACTGAAACGAGAGTTTTATGAATGAAACTGTGGCAGATGGGTGGCCTTAGTCATCTGCAGTGACACGAAGGTCTCTTGATGTCAATGGCAGTTAAGCTATTGATTTCACCAGGGCAAGACATTACCTGTAATTTCTAGAAGCAGCTACAGTATCATGCTGTGAGTGGAACTACAAAGACTTCAAAACCCCCCAGATTATAAAAGGCAGCATGAGGGAGAAAAGGGTTCAAAGTACACCAAAGGATTATGCTGCATTACGTGTTTTATTAATTACAAGTTGGTGTTTTAGAGCTGCTGTCCTTCAAATAAAGGTCAGCTTGACTCACAAACAGCTAGACGCCGTCACAACAGTGGGTCAGCTTCCAAAACTCCTGAACCTGAAGAACTTAATGGAGAAGCACAGACCAAACCATGGAAGTACAGGAGAGGTTTGGCTTCAGTGTCTGGGGTATGGAGGATGCTAAGAGCCCATCAGGTGGGATTTATAAGGAGAATTTGGTAGGTTTGAGAAAACAGCAGAAGCATTTATTAAAGAAGTCCTCTTGGCTTTCTAGCTTGAAAAAATGATGATTATAATTCTGTCATCTGGAGCTCCAGCTGGCTTGTGTGACATGTCTTTCTCTTTTCCTTTGCCCACAGCGTCCACTGGCCAATTCTGTGGTAGGACAGATGAAAGATCCTACCTTTGCAACGTTCATGTACCTGCTGTCCTGTGGGAAACAGTCTTCCTTCTTCTGCTCCCAAGGACAGGAGTACACAGTGGTGTTCTGGGATGGGAAGGAAGACACCAGGTGAGATCATGGGAGTAATTTCTTTCTTTTGTTCTTTACTTTCACATAAAAATCCTTCAGCACTTTCACTTACGCCTCTGGGAGGGAGGTAAAGAAGGTGGAAGTGAAATTGGGTGAATGCCAAGGATACGGTGAACACTGTTTTCCCAAACTCTTTTAATTGGGAACAGTGGTTGCTTTATAAAAGATATTTAATGAGCTTAACTCTGCTTCAGTTAATATGAGGAGAAGATTAGGGCAGTGCAATGATTCATACACACAGGATGAAGCATTTGCACATGAGAACAGACGTGTTCTGCCTCTCCTAATGAGGCCATTTAACACTAAACCTTTCCTAATTGAGACTGCAGTTCCATCTCTGTTCTCCAAAGCAATTAAGCACATGCTTAAATCCTATTGAAATCATCAGGAGTTAACCACATGCCTGAAGCTGTGTGTGCATCCAAGTGTACCCTGCCAGTAAAATGTGTGCTGTGCTGAACAGGCATGGGCTCTTTTTTATTTTATTAAATTGTGACTGAGTTGATGGCATTTTGCTCAGTCACATATGACCTATAGCTAGTTAGGTTTATTTTTATGGATGGTACTGATTTTTATAGCCCAGATCTTATTTGGAAACATCCACACACTAATCTGAATTTTATATTAATGTGTTCATTATTTGCAAGCATTAACCTAATGGGAGAGGGACGTGATTTGTTCATGAGTGATTTGCTTTGCTATTTGTGGTGCCTGGTCAGTCCTTCAGCAGAGACAGCACAACTATTCCTGCTAAAACTAGTGAAACACGTGGGACTCACAGATGTAATTTGAATACATGGATGTTGTCCAAATATTCACAGCAATATATCTCAGTGAATCTGCTTCCTGACTGGACAAACCACTTGCTGGAGACTGCTGAATAACAAATTATTTATATGTGACAGATTTCAGGACATGTAATTGCTTGTGTCACAGTTGGTAAAACATCTGGGGTTCACAGATGTGGTTGTGAATATCCAGTTATTGTTCAAACACCCAAACCTGACACACTTCCCTAAACAAACAAAATCCTTTTAGATACAAAAACACTAATTAGCCATATTTACAAACGGTTTTATCAAGTTCTGGTCTTTGCTCTTATTTGGAAGAATCATGCTCTTCTGTTTATGTACTAGAATAAGTAATGAAGCCAGATAATATTGAGGCAGTGAACTTGGAGAAGGAGCACACATTCTCTTGAGAACCTAATGGCAAGATGGGCTAAGACCTCCCAGCTGTTAATTATTGCAGTTCAGCTGGAGCCCTTTGTCCCATAGCTGGCTTAGGGGACCAGACCATTTCCTAATCCATTTCCATGCAGTCAAGCAGCCGAGTTTAAATCTTCACAGAAGCAGTTGCATATCTGCCTTTTGAGGAGGAGCCATGGCACATCTGTCTCTCCCTTTCCAAAGACCACTTGGAGGGGTGTAGATCCTTGCAGCATTGTCCCCATCTGGATAAGCACGTTGTGGCTTGGCCAAAAGTGCTGAGCCCTGTCCAGCAGCAGTGTGCAGGCTGAATGCCAGCTCTAGGAAGTTGTGATTTGCTCCTTGCAGAAACTACACGGTGGTGAATCCAGAGAAAGGAGTCATAGAAGTGGAGAGGATGAGCTGCCCAGGAATGAAGCTGTGCTGCCAACTAAAATTTCAGAATGCCCTCTGGGCTGCCACCGAGGTGAGTGTCACCTGCACTCCAGTGCCCTGCTCTGAGGGGCCTCGTTAGGAGAGACACAAATGAAGAGAAAGAGGCTATTAAATTAGTAAAGCTGAGAGTGTTGGAGACAATGGGTGTCTCGGGTGAGCAGCATGACTTTGCAGCTGCTGTCTCTGGGTGTATTGTTTCTACATGTTACCTAGCTGATACCTAGATCCAAATTGTGCCTCCTGCTCTTCAAAGCCACCGTGGGAACCTTGGCTTTCCAAGGTGAAACTCTCCAGATTTTAGCCTATCTGCACCCAGGCTTTCATCTGGGAAATGTCCTTATCTGTCAGCGATAAAGGGAAGCAGTGAAAGAAACCATGCATTTAAGGGTGGGGTTTTAAAAGAGGCCCGAGGGACTTGAAAGTTGGTGGGAAATGGGTACCCAAGTTCTGTGTTCACCATGGAAAACTGCAGCTAAAAAGATAAAGAGAATGAGAGAGAATGGCTGATTTATCCCTGAGCCCCTCTCCACCCAGCAGAAAGGGCTGCCTTAAGTCTCACCCTGTTCTGACACAATCATTTAACACAAACCAAACCAGAAAGAGCTAAAACAAACTGAAATGTTCCTGAAGTTCAGTGTTTCAGAGTGGGGAAAAAAGGCCACACTTGCTCAATAAATAATATGTGTTGCTTAATTCACTCTTGACCTAGCATGGGTGTTGGAACTGAGTAAGAGCATAGATTTCCCCCTCCCCCCCCCAGGAAAATAAGGTATTTAGGCTTTCTGTTCTCAAATTGAGCTAAAATTCAAATATTCCTATTTTTTCATAACCAGAAATATAGAAAAAAATCGCAGGTCAGAAATCTTAGTGTTTTATAGCCATCTTTTTGGTCAAAATTAAATGTGTTGCTGTTCCTCAGACTGAGTGCTCTGTGTCAGATTCATGGGTTGTAAAGCAGGTGTAATTCCACATACAAAGTAATAGTAGCTGTCCTTGAATTGACAGATGAATGCCAAATTACATACAACATGTTTCCATTGTCCTGGCACACTTGGGAGTTGTGCAAAGTCAAAGTTGTCAGATGCTACTTTTAGGTGTGCTGCTAAAAACACCTGTAGTGGTGCTTTTGGTGGCTTTTGGATAGTGTATGTATTGCCCATTCTGGGGAAGGCAGTACCTGCTTTCTACCCACAGACAGGGCAGGTGCTCTCCAGGGAAAAAAACAAAAATAAATCCAGGCTTTGGATATGGGAAAATGCAACTAAAAACTGGTTTTGGAACCAGTTTGATCTTGTTCAGGAATCGAAATATGAAAAGCACAGAAGATGATTGAAATTCATAGAATTTTATGTGCTCTTTCACAGGACCAGAAGATTTCTGTGTATGGTTTGCAGGGCATGTGTCCTCTAAAGACTCCACAGAAGGGTTTAGACACTCCTGCTACTGTGAGCTGCTTTCTAGTAATGCCTGTTGTCAAAAAGGTAAGGAGGAACCTGAAGGAGAAGGGGCGTTAGTGAGACTAAGCCATCTGCTGCCAGGCCAAGCTGCCAGAGCTTGCTTGGCTTGTCACTAGCTGGTGTTGAAGGCCTTTGCCATGCCCAGGAACATTTTGGCAGTGCAAGGAGAAGGTTTCCAGGTCTTTGTGCCTCTGCCAGAAGATAGAGGTGTGGGCAAGAACCTGAATTGGGGGAGACTAAAGCTGCCGTTTCCAAGCCTGCTGGGAAAAGAGTCAAAATAGATCAAATTCCTCTGCAAGGAAGTTTTCCAGCTGTGTTTCCACATCACTGAGACAGGGTTTAAGCTGATCAAGCAAAGCAGAGGGGACACGAAACAATAATTAGAGATTTGTTAGCTGCTAATGCAGGGCTTGGGCATATCCTAGCTCTCGGAGCCGCTCTTTTCCTGGTGTGTGCACACGCTGTCATTAGCCTGCACAATCATCTTTAAACATTATCTAGGCTCAGCCACACTACTTTGTTGGTTTTGAATGAGAACACTTCAATAATACAGCTCTTATGGGTAATACTCTTATGGGTAATAACAACAGTTAAACACTATCTGTCTATTTCTGGAATTGCTCCCATCCAGCTCCTGGCAAGAGAAATCTGACATGACTGCCTATTGCGGGCCAGTCTTGGGAGATGTATAAAAACTGGGTTTGGGCTAAATTACCTCCGGTTTGCTTACAGCCACCTCAAGTAAAAACATGTCATTATGTTCCAACGTTATTGGTAGCTATGTAGTTCTTGCAAATGCCAGCAGACTGGTATGTGTCTAAGAGCACAAGATGGAGCAGCCCTGGGAGCGGCAGTGGAGCTGGTTTATTCCACATGCCCGTCCTGTGGTGGTTTTCTCCATTTCTGGCTCGTTTGCTGCAGTGCAGCAAACTGAATCCAAGGCAGATGGTTAGTATAAGGTGTATGGCTCCACTTCCAAACGTGGTGTAAGCAGGACTGAAGTAGGGCACAGATCTAAAGCTGGCACAGGAGTGGATTTCACCCGCCGGGAGGCTGCGTCTGTCGGCTCTCTTTGGCTCCCAGACCTGCAGCATTTCTCTGCTGTGCAGTTTCATTTCTGATGTCTAGGGCAAATTTCTCTTTTCATGCTGCCTGAGGTTTGTCCAGGACGGTCGAAGGAGTCTTTTGCTTTCAGCTTTTCCACTGTCACACAGCTTGCAAAGCCATTCCTCAGGGGTTACGAGTGGCTTTATGTCTCCTGGTTTCTATTTTCAGTTTGTGGCTTGCCTAGAAAATGTCATAAATAATGCCAGGCCCTACAATAGTAATATTGAGTCTAGACACCTCCCTTCCTCCCCCGACCCTACCCAACCTTCCAGAAATCCACAGCCCTTCAGCGCACTCCTTCTTGCTTTATTGGACTTAACTTTTTCCTCTCTCCTTTCTATGAATGAGTTTGGCAGTGAAATAGCCAGAGCAGCAGCCTTAGGGATGTGCAGAGCAGGTTGGCCAGAAACGAAACCATTTTTTGAAACAGCCAGTTCTTCCAGCAAAGCTGAGTGGAAAGTTTGCACTTGTCGAACCCGCCGTGTGGTGCAGTGGCAGAGTTATCACCCAGTCATTATTGCCCAGCAGAGAAGAGAGCTGCTCACATTTCCCTGGGAAGAAAGCCTCTAGCTGATGAGATGTGAGGTAACGTGCAGGCAGAGAATTGCTGAGGGATGTTGCTGGGAAGGGGAATTCTTTACGACTGCCTTGGGAAGACTGATCCAAAAGAAATAGTTTCCAAAACTTGGTTTCTCATCCAAAGGAAGCATCATGGAAATTTGAAAGCAGCAGAGAAGGGGCCCAGAATCCAAAAGTCGCTCGCCAAGGAAAAGTCTTGTACGAGTTCAGCTTTTTTGTTGTGTGCTTTCTGTCACCATTATCATTGGTTTTGGCAAACAATAAAATTTTCAGTAAATTTCCTTTTAAAAAAAAAAGACAAAACACAACAACAAAAAAGCAAAGAAACAGGTCAAAATGAGCAAAACGAGATGCCTTCTGAAATGGTTTGCAGCACTCTTGCAAAGATTTTGAGGGAGAGAGACATCTGAACGGGTGCGAGCCTCCGGCCTCTTGCAAAAACCTGCCACACAGGAAAACAAAAGCTGCATTTAAAGGCTGCAGGCAGCCGTGGGTCCCTGCCAGCAGTGCCAGCCCCTGCAGGGGGGGAGCAGGGGCTGCCCAAGGCCGTGCTCTCGGGGGCTGTAGGGCTCTTTTAACCTGCCCGCAGCAGCCGTGCCGGTGGCTCGGAGCCTCGGCTGCGAGGACAGGACGTCTGGAGCCAGCTCATCTCCTGCACATCACATCCCATCACAGCCCTGCTCTGAGGCCTTCCTCCCTGGCACAGCAGGGCTTCTGGCAGCACCGAGACTTCAAATGCAGTTTTGTTGCTCTGTGTTTTTCTTGGCTCGTCGTGGAGCCCAAATGTTGAAAATGAATTCTGAGAAAGTTACTTAAGGTTGCTGGAGGCTGCTGCCCTGCCTGCCTTTGGTCACTGTTGTAATGCCCTGATCTGGGGGGTTGGCCTCACTGCCCGGCTGCACCGGCACCTAATGAAGGCTGGTGGCACAGATACAGGCTGGTGGCACCCAGAGGTGGGTGGCCTTTGCCCTGCTCTCCTGTGAAATGGGTCATTCCCTCGACTCGGCCAGGGGAGGGATGGCAGGTTGAGGGCGTTCCTCAGCATTTCAGTTCCTACTCCTTCCTTAGACAGAGAGATAACAACAGTGGCTGGGCAGAAACAGGTCCCGATAGCCAAGACAGTGAGTAATAAGTGTCCCAAAGCACAGAATACCTTCCAGATTGGCTTCCAGCACCGTGCTGTCCAGACAGGCCAGGCTCTGGCAGAGCTGGCATCGCCAGTGAGGCTGGGCGGGGATCGCTGGCACCGCTCTGCCTGGGGATATCTCCCCATTGCTCAGTGCTGGGGAAATTTGGCCTGTGGAGCCCAAGAGGGAATCTGGACTCTGTCCTGCAGTAGCTGACACTAATGGAAGAAATCACAATGTGTTTTATGAAAACTATGTTGGGATAATTCAGTATTTTCGTATCAAATGAGATAAAACTGTGGAGAACTCTGAAGACATTCATAGTGTCCTGTGTTATGCTAAGGAGCAGTTCAGGTGGACATACCCACATTAGAGTTCATTCCATAGAATGGTTTGGGTTGGAAGGGACCTTAAAGACCATCTAGTTCCAACCCTCTGCCTAAGGCAGGGACACCTCCCACTAGACCAGGTTGCTCAAAGCCCCATCCAACCTGGTTTTGAACACATCCAATGATGTGGCATCCACAGCTTCTTTGGGCAATCTGTGCCAGTGTTTCACCAGCCTCACAGTGAAGAATTTCTTCCTAATACCTAATCTAAACCTAGTCTTTTCCAGTTTGAACCCATTACCCCTTAGTTCTGCCATTACTAGCCTTTGTAAAATGTCCTTCCCCAGCTTTCTTGTCCACCCCCTTTTAGGTGATGGAAGGCTGTTTCAACAATTTCAGATGTTCCCATTTCAATTTTCCATTTTTAGTAAGAAGTACCTGTTACCACAGGGTCCTTTGGCCTGAAAAAGCTGTACTGTTTTCACCAGGGAAATGTGGGTTGTTTTGTTCTGTTTTAAATAATTCAGCTCCTTTCCAAAGACAAAGTAACCCAAAACCCAGCTTGTGCAAGGCATCATGCCATGTTCCAACCTATTGATGCAACTCCTTGGCAAACCCATCTCCAGACCCCTTTGCAGCAGATCCACATGGCAGCAGGGCCACGGCACTGAACACTGCAGGCTGTTTGGGTTTCTTTTAATCAGTGGTTAGAGATTTGGGACTGGCCAGAGGTAAAGTCCAAGTCCATTTCACAACTTTCCACTTGCTTCCTAAGTTTTTCCCATTACAGTAAAATTCTGCCGTGATTTGGATTAGTCATAAGGGCTCAGCACACTCGTGGTTTTACTCATGCTTTGTATGCAGATAGTGTCTTTTTGTCCAAGGCTCTTAATGAGCCTTGCAAACAGTGCTATCAATTAAACTAATACTTACCCCTTTGCTATCTGCCCCCTCTTATCTTGGAGCTATTCAAGATGCTGATTTTGGCCTCTGTGGACTTAAGCAGCCTGGGAGCTCTCTGGAAAAGAGCTGGACTGGTCCAGCCAAGATCCCTGGAAGGGCACAGGCTTTCCCTTCATTTAGGAGCAGCACGGGGTGAGGTCAAGTCCTGGTGCCACCTCGGAGAGGTTGGCAGTGTTGCTGGTGTGCCAGGCACACCAAGAGGCAGGGCTTTCCACCACGGCCAGGCCGTGGAGGGGTGAGGTGGTGCCAGTTCAGCGGCTGGGGCTCTGTCTGGTTCTGTTCATTTGGCTTTGCTCGGTGCAGCCAGATTGTTACAACAGCAAAAAAGCCCTGGGCAAAGGGTCTTTTTTTAGAATTTATTGCTCCACGGGGAGGAAATAGAAAGGCCTTTGAGGTAGGTATTGTTTTATCTGCTTCACAGATGGGGGAGTTTCTGGTACGGGCCCAAGGTCGTGGGGAGTTTTGTTCCTGAGAGATCCATCTCCCAGCCTGAGGGCATTCTGCAGCGCCGGGATGAGCTGGAGGAGTCGGGGACCCGCTGAGCCGTGGGCTCCGTGCCCCAGCC